TAGTGTTGTTAAACGGCCATTTTTTAAAACGTCTAACCCAATATTTTTGCCAAAAAATGTTATGCAAGTCTCGGATTTCTTAATAGATGTCCAAATTTTTCTTCCATCTATGAGCAAAATATCTAGGCTTGCGTAATATTTATGGCTAAAATATTGGGTTAGCCTTTTTAAAAATCTAGTCGTTTAACAACACTACCCCTATGTCCTACCCGTTAATTTTTTCTTATCGAGTGATTCATTAGAACAATGTCCCAGGCAATCTACTCTGAACTAAATCTGGCCCACCCTGAAATGTTTTCCCACCAAAAATCCTTACTCCTTTGCTATAAATCGCATGGAAAATGAAGAATTTCAACTATGATCTTTCGAAAAAAATTTGATGACTGGCATTTACGAAAATGGATTCCATAGTAAGCATAAATTACGGTGAAAATAATTATGTGATTTTAGATGAAAAGCTAAATTTAGCTTTACATAGGCTACTGGTTATATTCAAATATTTTTGATACAGAGATAAAGCCTACATGAAGTATATTTATAATTTTAAATAGACTCAGTCAGTAAATTTAAAATCTAATTTGATCATATCATAAAAGAATATTTGATATATTTTGTGGAAAGATAAATATCACAAGTTTTTAATATGTCCAAAAAAACTATATTATATAATATATTTTTTAAATTAATAATTTTAAAAAATATTTTGACAATTTAAAATATGATTTATAAATTTATTTCTTTGGATTAGAATTTATAAATTTGTCGATTATAGATTATTTAATTATAAATTTTTAATTGGAAAAAAAAGTAAATTTGTTTAAAAAAGAATTCCTTCATTTATTCTACACTGCCAAATCGAAATCAGGGATAAAAATTCATAATTTTAAATTTTAAATTATATAATTTGAAAATAAATTTAATTATTTTTGAAAGATTAAATTATATAGATAATATAGTAATTTAAGAATAAAAAAATCAGTAGTATAATATGTAATTTCTTGGTTAGTTAAATTATAATTTTTAGCGTTTAACAAATATATAAATCAATGATGTAACCAAGATTTTACCAAGGTGGGTAGGGGGTGGCTATTGGGTAGGGGTTTTCTCATAAAATTTATTTTAGGGAATAGTTCTCTCAAGATAATGTCTTTTATGATTAATGAGTAAAGAAATTTAACGAAATTTTAATAAGTTTCACCACAATTCAATTCTCTCATAGTTTTTAACTTCATTTTTTTTATCTATCTCAGAGCATCGTAAACCACTTCTAGAAACCCGATTATCATATTAATTTAAAGATTCTAACAAAAAATTTCACTATAAATAAAAAGATTTATAATAAAGAATAATGGCAGTTTTCATTTATTCCCCAAAAGGAATAAGAGGAATAATAAAATATATCGATGGGTTTTTAAAAAAATTAATAATATATTTTGTAAAATATTATTAATATATTATTATAATTATTGAAAAGAATATTATACTACATATATATCTTTTCATGCATGCATCTAACATTTAGTAATATTTGCTTTTTCTAATATTTAATTATTTACCACATTTGTTGCAAGATTTTTTTTTTTTTAATTTTAAATTACCTTGCTTCAATTTTAATTAAATAATATTTTAATTTTAGAGAAAAAAAACATTATGTCGTAATATATACGTTCAATTATTGGAAAAAAAATAGTAGGAACAACGTATTAGATTTAAATGGAGAGTACAATAATTATCATATTTATGGTAATGTTGAACAGATTCGAGGAAAGATTTAAAAAGCAAGCATAGAATTGAGGGCACTCTTTGCCTGGGAAAGAATAATTTTTCCTAAATCTTTGGACTGCGTTTTCCTGAATCTTCGGAATGGGTTTAGTTTAGGTTTATTGAATATGGAGAGTGATTATTTACAAAGTAGCGAGAGTAAAGGTGCGTATTCACGGATTTGAAATGATATTTTGGAAAGAGCTAAAAGACCGGCTCAGGGTTAAGTTCTAAAGGCAAAAAACTGACAATATATTCAAGAAATATAACATTTCATTCGTACATATCCTAAATAAATCATATTGTATTATACAGTTTATAAGGGAAGTTAATTTAATAACAATGACAATAAACAAAATAACCATTATAACTTAATTTTTTTTCAAAAATAATCCATGATGCTACCAAATCTTATTCATTATAATGTAAAACAAAAGTTATCCCATAAGAGTATTGTTAAAATCTTCCATTTATTCGATTTTTTAAAAGCGGGTAAATTTACATTTCATGCCAAAGAAATAATTTTTTAAAGACTCAATACTCGGTTAAAGGAAGACCAACCGTTTCTGCCATATTTTAAAGAAATATCGAAATTTACGTAATAATCTTTTGGTTAAAATTTTGACTAAGTCGCTTTTTAAAAAACCAGCCAAATCAAGGTTTTAACAACAATATCACATGATAATAATTTTTAAGAAAACCCACACAATTTAACATTAGATTTAAAAAAATTTATATTACAAAATTTTTAATTAAAGGTTATTAGGAATATGCATGAATAATTGTGTTAAATTTATATGACAACATTTTAAACATGTTATATTATAATAAATTTACTATATTATATGAGTTAAATCATAATTTATCTGCCAGATTGATTTTTTAAAATTATTATTCTTGCCCGATAGGACAATTGTATTTACTATTTTGACAGATAATTTATTTTCATACCCCCCCCCCCCACCAAACCAATAAATTATATTAATACACTATTAAATATTCCGGCCCGTGTAGATGGAAGAGCCGCCAAGACGGAGGTAACTGGGAAATAATACTCTTTTAGCGTCCGTGAAATTGTGTTTCTTTTACATTTAAAAGTGAATATTGTATAAATATTACCTAAATTAGATACTATTTAATTCAGTCATTTTATTGCAAATTATCTACATTTTATTAATATATTGCAAAAATTACCTAATTTATATTCTAAGTTGCTTATTCACCAATTTTATTTTAAAAATGACGAATCTAGTTTATTATTTATTTGAAAGTTCAGCTAAATTGAGGTTTCTTAAAATACTCCCGCATCGGGCCGCTAAAGATCTTAACACGGCTCGGTGACTACCATGATAATCACTCATATAAATATTTAAAAGTTATTAAATAAAATCATTATGAATCCTTTTATAAATAAAATATTGAATTTATTAGTATAATTTTTTTTAGAAAATTGTTAAGTTTTTTCCAAATCAAATTTTAAAATAATTTTTCCTTTATTTGAAATTGTATCATCGAAATATCGGGTAAAAAAAACTCAATTGTTGTTTACGCCATACATTCTTTTCTTGTAAAATAGGAAAGGGGGAGGTGGGAAATCCCAATTAATATATTTATATTTTGTTAAAATTTTCTTTTTAAAATGAAATATAGGAAATCATTTTTAAATTTTTTAAAATCAAGCAAAATAAAAATAAGGGTTAATTGAAATCAATTAATATCCTAATAAAGTGATTTCTAATTTCAAATATATATAGTTATATAGAAAGTGTATACGTGCAGGAAGTTGAGTTTGAAAGCACTCTGTATAAACAAGATTCTTTTCCCACCTTCTTTTTGCAAAAAACATTATATAATTGTTTGTTCCGGTTATAAACTTTTTTAAAATATGGGTTTTGATATTATGTGTATACCTTAGATTTTTATAACCTTTTAAATAAACTTTGATATTAACCTTAAGTTTTTGTATATTTTTTTACAAACCACCCTATATTGGCAAGTTTAATTACATTTCATCTTTAAAATTGAATCATTAGATTCGAGCTTCTTTTATGTAACTACTTCAAAATTAAGTATTACTACAATTTTTGCCAGAATTCTATATACATAAAATCGAAAGAAAAAATGGATTATTTCTTTAGAGGAAATCTTTTATTGTTGTTTTTGTAAAACTCTCTAAGATGTAATAAATTTATAAACCACTAAACTTAAGAAATATGAATTATATATAAAAATTTGGTATTTCGAAAATAAGTTGGGATTTTCAAAAATAATAAGAGTAAAGTTTTAGTCTGTAAACTTTTTTTTAAATTACCTTGTATCAGAGTACAAAGCCCGACGGGTTAAGAATTTCTGCAAAAGTTGCCCGAAAAATTTTCGCTCGGCCCGGTCCATTATAATTATTTTTAATTTGCTTAGCTGGCTCATTAAAATCTTACGAAAAGTCCGCCCCAGCCTGTTAAATTTTTTTGTGCTTATTTCCTTTCTTTTCCAGTGTCAATTAGGGCTCTTATATCTCTCCGTGGCTATCTATTACTTTTTAAACAACCGTCTTTTAATAAATTAGTTGTGTTTGATATTTGTATTGTGTATTTGTAATTGGTTCATATCATTAGTAATTTGTTTAAGGTATAATTATAATACAAAATAAGCATATTGTAATTTATTTTCAAATAGCATTTAAAAAATTTAGCTTGATATTCAAAAAAGTCTATTACAATTTTACGAAAAATCAAGGATAATTACGAAACCCTGCATGATTTTTATGTATACATTACCTGGACCAATTCAGCCCTATATTTTTTTATGTTCAAAATATTTGGCCCGGTACGGCCTGTTATTTTTTTTTTTTTAAATTTTACTATTATATTTTATATAATTAGTGGAGGATGCATTTATTGGAAAGAATTTAGGACTTTTAAAAGCAAATATTTTAAATGATAATTAATTATTTTAAAGCCCTAAATAAGGAAACTTAATGCTTAATTATATTTAATTAGCTTTATTATATAATCGGATGTGATATCTCTTAAAATGAGATACTAATGCTTTAATGATTTAATAAATCAATATAAAACATTAACTATATTATTAGTTAAAAGGTGAGATAGATATTATATCATTTATAATTCATTTATAATTTAAAATTGATATTTTCTTTAAAAAAATTTTTTTAATAAATAATAAAAAAAATACTTTATATAAAGATAGAATTCTATCCAAATTATTTATAAAAAAAAAATTAATTTTCACTCTTAAGATAAAACACTATTTTAAAATAAAATATTTTTGACACAAATTGAAAAGTAATATATATTTTTTATTTATTATAAAGTAATAGTGCCAGTAAATCAAAAATTTAACTAACTAAAAAAATTCTTTCAATGAACAACCTTACGGTATGCATTATATTAATTCTATCACCCATATCACTTTTCAAAACTCTTCATTCAAGCCCACTCTCTTCAGATTCAGGTATATAACTATAAGAATTATAATCAAATTTATTTCTAAGATAAGAAAAATAAAGAAAAAATAACTAAAAAAAAGTGGTAATAAAAAGGAAGAATAATATTACCAAAACTTAGTTTTCGTTCCACAAATAAAGATTCTTGGGAGTTTTTTTTAGTTCCCTTTTACAGTTCCTATCTCTGATCCTAAGCATTATAAAAATAAGATACCATAGTATATATATTGCGTATAATAACAGAATTATTTATCTTTGCCTCAGATAGGCCTTCGGACTTTCAAATTTAGTTAACAATAAAGAAAGTTAACTTCAAAGAGGGTTTTCCCTGTAATAAATTTTAATATTTAAGTAGAGAATTATGAATTTCTATATACTAAAATTTTAAGTTTTTGGCTGATTTAGATCAAATCAATCTATAATCCTTTTTATCTTTAAACATTGTAATATATCATAATTTGTTTTTTGTTATAAGAAAAATCAAACCGTAGATTATTTTAAAGCATGAACAGAAATTTTATCAATAACAAAATTAAATCTATATAACTAATACCTAGATTTCTTTAAAACTAAACAGTCTTACTCATAATTTAAAGGTAATAGAATACAATATTGCAAAAAAATGAATTATTGTTTTATTTCGAAGTTATTTTAATATAGGGTTTACTCTTTTGAGTTAAATGGCTCTAGTTTTGTCTGAAAATTTATTTTTAGGCATTCTTTCTGTCCACAGATGTAACAAGCACTCTCGCAACCCCCCGCATTGCGGGGAGGAGAAAGCCATAATTTTAAAAATATAAGGGTCTAGAGACTCTTCAAATTAATGGTAAAGATTTTTGTTTTTTGAGAGAAACCCCAAGATTTTGCGGTAAGTCTTTGTTTCTATCCTATCTTTATATCTAAGTTTCAATCCAATTTTTCTTGTAAAGTAATTGAATATTTGTGGATATTGTAATTTAAGCTATGAGGTAAAAGTAATCTATCATATTTTACAAAATTTTATGATTTAATGTTAAAAGATTAAACTTAGCCTGAGGTTTCTAGCCTATTTAAGAGAATAAGTCGATATAATTATTTAAGCAGCATATTATCGGAGTAAAACATTAGAAGGTAAAAGGTAAGTTTAAATTTTTATTGTTCACCAATTCTATAATGCGTAAATATTAAAAAACCCTAATAATGAAATACGATAGAAGTACTAAACAATAAGTATGACTTTAACTTTACGTTATAATTATTTACTAAATAAATATACAACTTGAAATGCATTTTTGAAACAAAATTGGAAATATAACTATTAGAGTTCAAAAATTATAGACGTTTATTTATTCTACTATTGGCATTTACTCCCCATATCGGATAAAATAGAAGGAAATACTTTTATTACTACATCCTAAATAATGTCTTTAATATGAGAGGTAAGAACTAGACCTGCAAAATCAATCAGAGCCACCTGGTGACAAAATATTTAGTAGGGCTGATCCATGCCCTAAAGCGTCCTATGGCTCAAATCTTAATAAAAACATAAGGAATGAAATATTTACTCTGGCTTTTTTAAAAAGCTTTTCATATTTTTTAAATTCATTTATAATTAGTTGTAATATTTAACCAGGTAAAAAAAGAAGAATAAAGGAAATATAATAATAAATCTGTGTTTTTACTGATGATGTTACCGCTATGTGGGATATTTTTTTTATTTTGTAATCCAATGATAGACTATCTAAGCTGATATGTATATATCGATAAATATATTTGCTCTATAATTGAGCAGTTTCACTTGGTGTTAAATTATCCGTAAAGTAAATAAAAAAAATCATCTAAAAACTCCGATATCCCCCACTTGTCACTCTACCAGATTAATTTTTTTTTAAATTTAAATATAAAGTTATCAATTAGGAAATGCCTTTTGAAAAATATCCCCCCACTTCAACCTTAAATAAATTACTAGGAAAAACATTTAAAAAATAGTAACGATATCAAACCCTAACTATCTCATATGTTTACCTACTAGATTAATAGCATTGGCCCATCTCTTCCAAATCAATTAGATACACTCTTTCGCAGCCCCAAGCTAATAATTTTAATTTTACCGGCGACTCTGAAAACTATTATTAAGTTCAGCAGAAATTTTTATTATTATAAATAATATTAATTAATCCTACCACCTCCTATAGATTTACGCTAGCCCACATCTGACCTTAGTCTACACCTCATTTCTGTATAGAGTTTTACGGACTATAGCTCTCTTTATCAGGTTCCGAAAAAAAGTATAAATAAACATTTTTCTAACCCTAGCCATTTCATATAAACTAAACTTAGCTTATATCAGGATCCATATCTTGTTGGTAAAATCTAGTGAATGTTTAGAGTTGAAAAACCTTTATAATTAAGTATTACTAAAGTTTATCTATTTGGTAATCCAATGTAACTAACTTTTGATATAGTTAACTAAATTCTATATCCCCTTAGAGGTACGAGGTTTTACTGTAAGGAGCATTCTGAGATAAACTAGAAATTATTTTATTATATCCATATATTTTTAATCCAAAATTATATCTAAAATATAGTTAGAATAGGTATAGATTGAAAATGATTTCAAAAATGCATTAATAATAAACTGGGTTTTTAATGCTATCTATAAAGATCATAACACTACTATATATATTTATGAGTTTACCTAAAATTTAAATCACATTTTTCTAGTTTCATAATTCTTTAAAATTTCTTTATATCGAAAAACTTTAAATCTTTTTTTAAAAAATGAAAAGTATAAGTCAAGGTTATAAAATAATTGAAATAAAATTCCCCTAACACTCCCCCGCCCCTTTCTTCACAAAAAAATGAAATACCATTTAATTTATTATAATTTTTTTTAAAAAAGAATAAGTAAAAAGTAAATAATTTTAAGAATCGAGTCTAAGATTATCCAATAAAATATATGGCGAAAAGGCCAACCAAAAATCTTCCCTTCTTACCAAAATTCTTATTATTTCGAAATTAATGCCATTTATACTTGACATCTACCTGAAGTATTAGCTGTCATTTAGCATTTTGGACCCATACATAACAATTAAATTCACCACTTTTTCACCACTATCCCATATATATTTACTCCCAGGCGAAATTCAAATATTATTTAAATATAATATTTTGTAAGAGTAAATTATATAAAATCTATAAGATTAAAAAATAACTAAAAAAATCCAAAAAATTAATTAATTTTCTTTTTCCCATAGTTACATAAGTATTTGTTAATTCTCTTATATAAAAACATTGATTTAAAATCAATATTTTTTTGATGATATATTACATATTTTAATTAAAAATTATTTCTAGGACAACTGTGGTTTTAAATATTAATTTTTTATTATTAAGAGATATAAATTATATTTCCTCTCCTAAATCTCAAAGTCAAAACTTAATAAATAATTCAGAATTATCAATATAATATATAAGATATTATCTAAGAAAAAATATAACAGGTAGCTAGTAAGCATTGGACGTAATGCAAACAAAAGATTATATCCACGGCCTAATAATATAATATTACAGATATAATTATTTTCTAAATTTAATTACAGTTAAACTTATCTAACCAAGCACACAACAAAAATTATATAAATGCTCATCTTAAATAAGTTACAACTTGTGTATTAATTTACGACCAATCATTCTGCTATTAAATAAGTATATCGAGCCATTTTCGTTATATTTCTTATTTTTAAATCTAGCTTATGTATAACCAATATTTATATTCCAAATACATCAAATCGGTAAAGAGGGTTACTGTCATTATTATTATCATCCTATCAAAGAAGAATTGATTGAAGAAAATAATCTTTTTTAGAAGTATAAAGTCTTAAACGTAAATAAAATTTTGTTTGAGGGGGGGGGGCAGTTTTCCCCCATAAATTTTATTGGAAGGCTTTAGGCAGGAATGTAGTCGAGGAAGATGGCCTGGCACGCAGTGCCCCCTCCATTTAAAAAAAAATTTAGCATGCACTCGCCAGAAATTTGAAATTTTTAAAAAAGTCGGGTTTTTAAAAATGACATTTTTAACATATCAATATTTTTTATCATGAAATAAACATTATAAAATATTTTATAAACACAATGATAGTATAATAGTAGAATTTAACATTTATAATTCAAAAACAAACCCTTCTCTTGGTTTTAAAAGTATTCGATAGTAATAGGAGAATATTATTTTATCAGTTATAGCCATGTAGTGTTATAAAATGAAAAATATTACAAATTATTTTTATAACAGAACAATGGTTACGCACATTAATAAACAACTCAAGATAATTTCATAACTGCATATTATCTTGCAAAATCATACCCCGGTGGATTTTGAATCTGGTCCAGGTATGGGTCCACAATGATGGTTTCTAGCCAGCATAGTACCTTATTGCTAAACAAATGTTAAAGAATGGATAATCTCAACTTTTTTGATCTTGTTTTTTTCATTTCTCTTCTTCTTTTTAATATCTATCCAAATAATTAAGTTTCATTTTTATACTAATAACTTATTATTTTATATATATTCCTTATTATTATATATGTATAATTTATTATTTTATACGTATAACTAATTATGATTTAAAAAAATAAAGCCTTTATTGATCCCTATAAATTCCGAGAGTTATTTAGTCATACTTACAATTCTAAGAGAGCCGATGACGAAGATGACGACGTAGATGCATTGTATTTCGGCAAGAAGAAAAGAGCCTTTATGATATTACCTCAAAGAACTGGCAAGAAAGAATTCAAGGATTACTATGGGTCTACTTCTAAGAGAGCTTACGTGATTCTCCCCAAATCAGGTTTTTGCCTAAATATTATACAAAATATTGAAAATTTATGAATTTATATTATATATATGTGGCAACTGAATATGAAATTCATTGGGCTCGGAAGCTCTCAATTTTAAATCATTTACTGAAGGCAATTTTTTTTTGGAAATTTGAATTGACCGGAAATGAACTGTGAATTTCAAAAATTACCCACATTTTCTGAATTCGTTTTTTTATATGAAAATTTACATAATAATTATATAAGTTAAGGTGTTCAAAGTCAAAAAATTTTTCAAAAAAAATAAATGATTATTGCATTTATAAATGATTTTAAATTTGAGAAATTTTGAATCCCCATAGATTCCATTATCCTACGATTAAAATTATCATTATACTAATTTTTTTTAAAAAAAAATATGTATAAAATATGTTCTAATCGAACAGATTATGGTGAAGCTACGTTTAGAAGTCAACAGAATGAAGGTTTATCGAATTTCTTAAAATCCTATTTTTTTCAAAAATGCCGTTATATAAGATTTTTTAGATATTTTTAAATAATATCATCATGATCGAACGTTGTTAATAGACTAAAACTAATAAGTACATATATCGGATATAATTAGTTTATAATTTTTTAATATTTATATATTTTAGTTTTTTGAAAAATATTTATTAGATCATTATCAGACTTCCTGCCAAATACAACATCCCTTCTCCCTTCTCCCTTCTCCCTTTTGCTACTTAATTAGACTATTCATTTCATAAAAAAAAACTGTTACTGGATATGTTGTATTGGATATGGAATCAATAGGGATTCGGAATCTGCCCATTTTTAATTAATTTTTTAGTATGTATAGAGTGCCAACACTGTGAATTTAAGACAAACTTGTCTTTAACTTTTGAACTACCCTTAATTTATCTTCATTTTTTATAGATACTTTTTATAAATTAAATATACAACATTTAATAGCAAAAATTCTCTATTTACAAGGTAGTTATTCTTCATATGCGGGAATACAATTCCGCCTCAAATAAGAATTTCCAATTTAAAATTCCTCTTAATATAAAATTGAGAGATTTGGAATTCCTATGGATTCCATATCCCAATTCGACAATAGATCAAGGTTAGGTAGCAATTAAATACACAATTACAATTCCGTTTTTTATAATTAGTAACTGTAATTCGACTTTAAAAAAGGAAATTAGTCTATAATTAATTATATCTTTCATGCAATTATTAGTTATAATTACTATCACATTTATAATTCCTGTTCTTAAATTTAATTAATTTTTCATGCAAAACGATCAATCATTCATATTTTAACATATTAGGCATTAGTATAATGTGAGATTTCAATTTTTTAACTTATTTTTATCTTGGACTCTGGCAATAACTTCTAGAATTTCCCTTCTAATGCAATCTCACATTCATAAGAAGATAAATCGAAATGGCCAATATTCAATCCAAAATTTTGTAAAAAAATAACAAAATAAAATGATAAAACCACAAGCGCTATATGTGCAATTTACCATCAAATCATAAAGGACAACAATTTATGTAAAGAAATATAATAACTCTAAAAAAATCCACAGAATAATCAACAACTAGGATTAACTTTCCGGAATAAAAACAAAAATTCTATAAGTCATCAGGCGACTAATGAGATGATAATTAATTTTGAAACTAAAAATCTAAAGCATCTAAGTGTTGAGGATGAAGGAAATTTTATTGAAATACAAAACGTCTCTGCGTCTTTGCCCATCTTCTTTAAAGGCTATAATTATCGGATTTAATAGAAGATGTTTTGATTTAGAGTTTTATTGCAAAGCAAACTCATTCATTTTAGCTACTATTTTACAACCATATTTTATAGATAGGTTAAATCAATGCCTAAACAAAATGATTTAAAATTGAGAATATCTCTATTTCGATAAACACTTTTAAAAGTAAGTCAAAAGATTCTCCAAAACAATCATTTTAATTTTTTTTTCAAATTTGACAACTCCAAATCGAATCAATGATTGTACTTGAAGTGCTTAAACATCCGATTAATGTGTTAGAAATTTTCCAACAGTTAAAAATATGTTTTTATATAACTATTGTCTCCATCAGCACCTATAGAAAGATTATTTAGCTATGCAATATCGTTAATTAAGTATAATAGAACCACCGTTGTTATAACGACCTGTTTGAAAAATTGATAACTTTATTAAAAAAAATTATGCGTTTTTTTAAAATATGAGTTAAATATAAATTTAATATCATTTATACATTCAAGTAAAACATTCATGTTTATTGCTTGCCTAACTTTTTAGAAATCAAGCAGAATTTTTCAGTGTAAATATGATGTTATAATAATTTATATGCAAATAACTTATAATGGATTATATATTTAATTTAGCGAGTAAAGCCTTTATATTTTCAAACATAAAAATACAAATTTCTCATTTACTTTGGTAATTTTTATCACTACTATTAATATTTATTACAATTAAGATGTATCTATGCAATTATAAAACTTTATAAAATCTCAATTATATGTATTTAATAATTATTTTCCTTTTTTAGAAAAGGAATTAGTAATTATAATTAATTACTAAAACAAATTAATTACATTTTTTAAGTAATTATTCCCATCCCTGCTATATATACTATTAAATTTAATATCAAAATTTCCTTCCTTCCTTCCTTCCTTCCTTCCTTCCTTCCTTCCTTCCTTCTTTCCCTCCTTCTTGAAACTATGTTATCCCAATTTGCTAAACATAAATTCATTAATTATCATTTTAGATAAATAAAGAAGATTTATTTTTACTCTTATTTTTACTTATAATAATATCTTTGAACATCTTAATTTAATTATGCCTTAATGTTATTAAAATCCGATTCCTAGCACATTTATATGATTAAATATGATTATCGAAATTCTATAATTTATTAATTATCACTATAGTGATATATCAAACATATATAGGAATACATTTAATTTTTTTAAGTTATTTCATTCTTTTCCAAAGTTTATTGATTATTTATAAAGGTGCTTAGAATTTTAACAATATATAAAATCCGAGTTATTGTACAAACACTTAATATTCAATTACCAATATTCACCTAATTAACTCAACAATGTTATTATTGCTATAATAATCTGATTTAATACCTTTAAAAGGAGGCTGCCACCTACGCGGTCAAAGAAATAGAAGATAAAATTTCATTGGTCAAAGAAATGGAAAGGATAATTTTATTATTGATTGTAAAATTAAATTCTATTTTTCCATTTTATTTACCGGAAAAACATTTTGTTCTTATAAAATTTTTAGGGATAAACTTCGAAAAAATTAGTTTTATTAATTCTATAGTAAGCTTTTAAGTGTCATTATAAAAGGATGATAAATTTGTTTAATATTGATGTTGGAAAGAAATTTTATAGAAAATATATATTCGCAATTTTATGTTTGCACTGCCAAAAAATAGTAAAGATGAAAAATAAATAAATTGAGAGTGTGATTTTTTTTATAGATGCCATTTCCAGACGGAACAATATTTTCAAAGCGATTTTCTGGACAGGTTTCCAGCAATTTTCTTTTATTTTTAACAAAAGGAGTACTAAAAAAGGGACTATAAAAAGAAATAAATATTAATTAAATAATGGTGTGAAGTCATCCAAAAGTGGAGTGGATTAATAGAAAGTTAAATCTAGAGAACTCTAAAGAGATTTTTTGTGATAGGTAAAACACCCGATTTGGATCTCCAATGTCTACTGTTGTTTTTTCTGAGACTTTTAATTAATTGAAAGGCTTTGTCCACAAAGAAAGGAATTTGTGATTAAGGGCACGAAAATTGCATTTTTGTAGTCAAAGCATTTGTTCTTTTAAAATTTAGGCGTGTGCCATGGCAAAGTGGGGAGGGGGGGGGGTTATTAAACTAAATTTAGAAGTGTAGCTCTAGTCTAGTGGAACCAGTATTAATAATGCTATTTTTTTGAAATACTAACGATTTTTTTGGGATAAAATAATATATACCATTTAATAGCACAATTAAAAATATAGAGCGAAATGTAAATCAAATAAGGTTTTAAATTCAACATGATTTTAATTAATTTAAAATTAAAATTAAAAAACCGTTGGCAAATATTTTATGACTTTTTAATACTTACCACCAAAACTCATATAATAACTCTTTGTCATACTCTAAATATTTCCAGCTAGGTGCCTTGAATTTAAATATATCCTTTACCTATAATTTAGATATAAATCAAAGTTATGCCTATATATTTAATATCTTTTTACGTATCCGTCTATTCTTCCGTCTTTTAGTAATTTGTTTATTTCTCATTTAACCCCTGTAAACTTCATATTATATATTCCTTATTCTTTATATCTAATCTATAAGAATAGTTTTTTTTTCATATTCGCTTCCCCAAATATTTGATGATATAGATTGTTTTTTCCAAACGTAATGTTAAAATAGCTAGCATATCAAAATTATTCTGCGGAGTTTTATTGTGACTATTTTACATCTGCGGTGTTCTTGGTGCAAGCTAAATGTTTGCACTAGCCAGCACCATGGCGCACACTTATATTATAATCATTAGTTTTGGGGAAAGTGATAGTAGTTATAGGTAATTAATAACCGACTACCATCTGTTTCTTTGACCGCGATAATAATTGTATACCGATCAACATTACGCAGAGTTAGAATTTGGATTTGATAATATTTGATTTCTGAACGCAACCAATATATAAATTAATGAATATTAAATCAGAATCATCCAAGGAAATGATTGAAATGTTTAAATTTTATTTATTTATTATCAACAATTTCTAAACGTATATTTTATTTTAGACGGCAGAAATCAGCATATCCAAGCCGGGCAACTAAGTGATATTTTATTAAAACTTATCGAAAGCAAATCTTCCGACAATAGTAATGGAAGAAGGGTGCGATTCGGTGTCAAATAGACAAAATTGTTATATTTTAGAAAATAATATTCAAAGATATAAATATTTATAAATTAATTGTGTCTTGTCTATTTTTACAAATTGTATATTTAAAAAAAAACTGTCCCAAAGATTTATTTTTTGATGACTAAATGTTATCTAGTTCGTTATACTATTTATATTTTTAATGTTTTCAATGTATTATTCAAATCCCTATGTTTTAGATACAAAAATTGCATACGAATAAAATAATTTTTAAAATAATCGTAACTTCATTTTTCTCATTTTAGACTATGCCAGCTGATTTTTTCTTTTTGTAAGAACCGTATTAAGAAGAAATCAGAGTTTGAACCTTCAAAAATTTTTTTTGATTTGATCTTATAATATTTTTTAAAATACCATTTTAGGTAAGATTTGATCAAAAATCTCTCTTCGTCAAAAAAAAATCTTCAAAATTTGCTCAAAAATTTTTGATGATTTTTTTCAAACTCAATTGCCAAATATTTTAAATTTTATATCAAATCGTCCGGCTTATATTGGAGTGCCCCCATATTAATTGTAATAGAAAAAAAATATTTTGTGAATTATTTCATGAATAACATATAATAGAAATTTTAATTTATGTTTAAAAAAAATCCACATTTAAAATTTAATTAATAGAATTTTTTATCATGTATTGTCCTTCTTTTTGGAAACATTAAGTTTTTTTTGGGGGAAAATATAGTGTTTTTTTTAGTCATACTTTTATTTTTAATTTTTCAATTAAAATGCGAAATTTTTATGTATCAATTGTTTTTGATAACTTTGATAAATTATATTTATTTAAAATTTAAATTTTTTTCATATTTTTGTTTTGAAATAAAATTTACTTATTTTTAATCTATTCATACAACGCTCTTTTTTATGATTCCTACTTACTTAAAGTGGCCACTTAAAATTATTTGACATTATCTTTATTCTCATTTTACCAGACGAATGATTACTCTAGAAAGGGTTCTTAAAGTCATGAGTAACTATTTAAATCAAAAAATGTTTAAATTTCTAAGACTTAATTATGAAGTTATTTTATCAATTATATTTCTAGATCAAATAACATTTATTCAATCAACTAGTATAAAAACTATTATCCATTTCCGTCCGAGACGTTACTAGCCTTTACAATCTCAGGGGGCTAGAAGAGTTTTTATATAATTTTTAATATTCTTTTGTTTTTTTTAAATATTTTTTTAATTTGATATTGTTCATATTTGTATATAATTTTTTAAATTTTCAAAATAACCTCTTCTTTTTTGAGTAATATTTTCAAAACTATATTTGGTATTAAAAAATTCAAATTTTGATGGGGTTCTTCATATTTTTTAGAAGGCTCGAGCCCCTGCGTTCTTCCCCATAGTGACGCTACTGGTTTCCATATATTTATTCTAACTATAAGGTATTATAAATGTAATTATTTTCAAAAAATATTGTATTCTATTCATATAATGTAGAATGTACGTTATATCGTTTACAATATTATGTGCTAAAATTTAGTAATTTTCAAATAAATCAAAATATTTGAATATAAAAAGTATCAAAATATATATTTTATTGGTCCTATGGCAACATTTCATGCTAAAAAACCAAAAAGCTGGGGCAATTGGCGTTGTCTACTTTATTCTTTTCCATTATATATTCTCATGTTTTTATATAGGATTGAGGTCAAAATGTGAAGGATGACATATGATCATATTAATATTTTTTGTCTTTAACCATATCTTGTAGATTTAGAAGTTTCGTTATTTTTTTTCAGCTTAAATATGTAACTTTCGCCTGCCCTAAGAGACTTTATAAAAAACATGGAATTATTTTGTAAAATTTATCCAAATTAACCGGCTAACTGTTCCCACTCGAAGCATTAACCGCAACCCACTATCTATACACCAAGGATTTTGATCCAAGGCCTTTAGGCAAGCGTCCATGAATATCGAAAATAGGTACGGCGCTATTCTGCACCCCTGCCGGACTCTCCTGAGGACGTTGAAGGGTTCTGAGGTCTCGCCGAAGCGAGAGACCGGGGCCGTGTTTTTTAATACGATTAAATATTTGGATTTTTATGTTTTGGAAGGGGAAGGGCCACCGTTGTCGATTTTTGCCTAAGAAGGGTGTGTTGAAGAGTTTTGATATTAATAGATTAATTAAAAGTTTCAATTGTATTTTTAATAGCAAAATTGGCAAAGTTAAAATTTACAAATAGATATTTTGCTAAAGAATGATTTTAAACCAAGATTTTTGAAGGCCAGGAGAGTGCCTTTTAAATTAGAAGAAGAATTAGAGGTGACAATATAACAATGGCTTCAACAGGGTATAATAAACCCTGTTAGATTTTCTCAATGGGCCACTCCTTTAGTATTGGTTAAAAAAAAGATAATACGTTGAGAGTTTGTGCTGATTTTAGAGTCACTATAAATCCACAATTAGAAAGGTTTGAATATCCTATTCCAAGGATAAGTGACATAATTGCTAAAGTAGGAAATGGAAAAATATGCTCGAAAATAGATTTTTACTCGGCATATTTGCTAATTCCTGTTTCTAAAGAAACTTCCAAATTTTTGACCATTTCAACCCACACGGGTCTTTTTCAATTTCTAACAGTGTCAACTGCTTATTTTCAATAGACCATGGACGAAATTTTTTCTGATATTAACGGGTTATTTATTATTTAGATGATTTGCTCATTTTTGGTAAGGATAAAGAAGATCATTTTAACAAATTAAGAAAAATGTTTACAAGAATGCTGGAATATGGTTTGATTGGAAATATTAAAAAAAGTGAATTTAGCAAAGATATATTTAATATTTAGATTACTTAATAAGTGACAAAGGTATACAGCCAATCAAAGAAAAGATTCATCCGATAAGTAACATTACTGATAAGGATGAATTGCATTCTTGGTTAGATCTTATGAACTATTATTCAAGATTTATAGAAGGTTTTCCAAATTTGACATCTATATTTTTTTTTCTCTTTAGCTTTCACCTTTTCTGGTGGTAAGCTCCTTCAACATCTCTCTCCACTTTATGTTATTCGTACAATCTCTTTTATCTATTTTATACTTCTTTATATTGGCTCTAACTTTATGGCCCCATTGAAGTTTTGGCCTTCCTCTTTTACGTTTGCCCATCACTTCCAATCTTTCAACTTTATTTCCTATGTAGTTCATAGGCCTTCTCATTGTGTGCCCATACCACCTAAGTCTGTTTACCATTAACTTAGTCTTAATGGGCACTACCTTTAAACTATTTAGTATTCTTGTACTGCGCACCTTATCCTTTCTTGTTACCCCAGCAATCATCCTCAGCATTCTCATCTCCATAGTTTGTAGACTTCTCTCGTCTGATTCTTTGGTTGGCCATGTTTCCGAACTATATAGAATAGTTGGTTGTACTATGGAACTGTAAATTTTTCTCTTTAATTTGTGTGGGATTCTTTTGTCAAATAGCACTCCAGATAAAGATCTCCACTTTAACCACCCTTGATTAATCTTATTCTTTATCTCTTTTTCTATTGTGCCGTTTGTTTGTATAGTGTAGCCCAAATATTTTCAGCTTTCAATTGCGGATATCTGCCAATCATTTATATCAATACTCTCCGTTTCATCTCCTCCTATCACCATATACTCCGTCTTTTCTCTATTTACTTTTAATCCGTGCGTTTCTAGGATATTTATCCAATTCACTAACCTTTCTTTCATTTCATCCTTGGATTCGGCAAGTATCACAATATCATCTGCAAATATCATATTCCACGGGACTGTTTGAGGTATAGACTGTGCTAATACATCTATTACTGTAATGAAGAGAAGTGGGCTGAGAGCCGACCCTTGATGAACTCCTTCGGCTATTGTGAAGCCTGCTGAAGTACCTGTTGTTGTCCCATATAATATCCTCTATTATTCTTATATATTTTTCGGGAACTTTTTTGTGGCGTAGCGCCCACCAGATAAGTTTTCTTGGGATTCTATCGAAGGCCTTTTCTAGATCGAGAAAGACCAAGCTTTTTGTTTTCTGTATTTTTCACTCATTTGCCTAATTGCATGGATAGCATCGATTGTTGATCTTCCAGGCATAAAGCCAAACTGTGTCTCTCCTATTTCGATTATCTCTTAATTTTTTTTCTATTATTTTTTCGTATAGTTTTAGACAGTGTGACATTAGTTTTATGCCCCTGTAATTTTGACAATTGTGTGGATCCCCTTTATTTTTGAAGATAGGAACTAGATAGCTCTGCCTCCATTTTTGGGGGACCTCTTCATTTCCAAGTATTTTATTGTACAGATTTGTGAGGAGATGTATTCCATCATCTCCTAGTGCTTTAAGGCTTTCTATTGGAATATCGTCTGGACCCTAGCTTTGTTGTTTTTCATATGCATGAGGCATGTGATTATTTCTTGTTCTGTTATAGGTTGTACAAGGTTTTGACAAGGGGAGTGTTCATCTAGATGCAATATGTATCAATTTCCCATCTTTATTTTTGATTACTTTCGGAGCTCCGTTTATATCCCTAGAGTTCTTTTCTCGCTGTTTGGCTTTGCCCTTCTTTGGTATGTAGATCTTGATTTGGCCCTAGCCACCGCCTTTGTAGCTAATCTCTTGGATTTTTTGTATCTTGACTTGTCATCTGCATTTTTGGATTTGTACCATATTTTATAAAGGGCTTTTTTCTCCTGTATAGTGGTTTGTACCTCTTGATTCCACCACCATAGTTCTTTGTGTGATTTGTTGCCTCCTCTTGTCAAGCCTAGCGTCGATTTTGCAGTGTCTATTAATCTGGATGAAAGGTCTGTCCATATTTTTTCACTGACTTGTGAGCAATTTATTGTTTCAATGTTTGCATTGATTGCAAAGGCATCTGTCATTGTTTTTAATTTGCCCCATTTGATGCATGGTTCCAGTTTTATCTTATTTTGAGTGGATTTAACTGTCTTTTTTCCTATAGTAGGTGTTGGTTAAGGCAAGGTCGAAGGCTTCATCATTTCTTTCTCCGTATCCAAAACCACCATGATGCCTTTTGTAGCTATCTCTTGCTTTCCCCACATGTGCATTTAAGTCACCACCAATTATGACTAGGTCATCCTTAGGGATTTCCATTACGGCTTCATCAAGGATAGCTCTAAAGTCATCTTTCTCTTCTTCCTTGCAACCCGTTTGAGGAGCATATACTGATAGGATGTGTAGTATTGATTGACCA